AGGAGGACGAGGATGACGAGGAGGAGAAGGAGGAGGAAGAGGAGAGGAAGGAGGGAAGGAGCAGGAGGAGGGGGAGGAGGGAGGAGGAGGAGGAGGAGGAGGAGGAGGAGGAGGAGGAGGAGGAGGAGGAGGAGGAGGAGGATTGAGGATCGAGGAAGAGCGGGATAAAGAGGAACAATAGGAGGAGGAAGAAGATGAGGAGGATTGAGGATCGAGAAGGAGGAGGATGAGGAGGAAGAGGAGGAGGAGGAGGAGGAGGAGAAGGATGAGGAGGAGGATTAAACATCGAGGAGGAGGAGGAGGAGGAAGAGCAGGAGGACGAGTATCGAGGGGGAAGCGGATCGAGGAGAGGGATGATCGATGTCCTCGATCATCCCTGTCGATGCGAGGAGGAGGATGATGATCAATGGCGAGGGGGATAACCGAGGTTCTGGGACGTTTCTGGCCCGAGGAGGAGGCGGAGGAGAAGGAGGAGGAGGAGGAGAAGGAGGAGGAGGAGGAGGAGGAGGAGGAGGAGGGGGATGAGGAGGAGCTCAAGAAAGATCGGCAGGCCAGTGAGGCCTCCATGGAGAAACCGGAATACCGATCGGAAGCAAATGTCGAATCGAATCGGACTCCCAAACCAGCCGACCTCGAATCGGATCGAATCGAATCGGAGTCGGAATGAGCCCGGGCACTCCGCGTCAGACCGCACTCCGCCGGGCCTCCCAGGACCTCTCGAACGTGGCGGCAGCTTCCCACTGGCAGCGCCCAGGGGGAGCGCAGCAGGATGCAGGTGGCGAGGAGGAAGGGCGGGAGAAGAGGACGGGAGGGGAGCAGCTGCTGTTTGGCGGGAAGCCCAGGCGGAAGCGAGAAGGGGGCATGCCTTCTCAGCCGGCGACGGGGCTCCTGAGAAGCCCTCGCGCCGTCTGAGAAGTTCTCTGTGGTCTTCGGGAAAAGCTCAGGAAACTCCTGAGAAGGCCCGAGGCCTTCCGAGCCGTCCCCCCGTGGCTCGCCGCCGAAGTGCGCTACTCAGAACTACTCAAAACGACTCAAAACGAGTGCCCAACAGAGGAGGGTTGAGAATTAAACTCGCACCATCATCTGAACACCACTCGGGACACCGTCTGGACATCAATGGAAGGAAAGCTGCACTGCACACCACAAGGAACTTCACAGGCAACAAGCCGAAACTGCCACGCCCAGCTCCAATCTCCGATAGGCGGCATGGTGCCTGTGTGCTGTTCGGCCCAGCAACAGAACGCAGAGCACAGATGTCACGCATAAGAACGCAGGTCAGAGATCAAGCAGCGCTTTGGTATGAAAAAAGGCAGGGCACAGATGTCACGCATGAGAATACGGGTCAAGGATCAAGGAGCGTTTTGGTGATATAAGCTCTGTGCAGCTGCAAGGGGCAGGTTACACGCTGGTCGGAAGAAGTGAGTTGAAACATGAAGTAGGAAGGCGTTGGAATTAGATTGGGCTTTCACCCGCCCCCTGAAGAGGAGGAAATAAAGAAAAACGCTCGACTCTTGAAGTAGGAAGGCGCCTAGAGTAGATTAGGATTCGGGCATCCAAAAATACCTACGTGTAATCACGGCGAGGAGCGCGCACACGCGTAAGGAAGGGGGAAGGTCAAGGAGGAGGGGGTGGGGCAGTGCCGGACACCGAGCGGAGGCTTCCAGCCCTTGGCTTTGACCTCGCCCGGGGGCACCTCAGCGACGTGCCGCGCGGCACGATCGGATTCTTCCCGTCAGGGGCGGGCACCATGCTCCCTGGCTTGTCGAAGGCCAGGACAGGAGGCATGACGACAGACAGCTTCTCGCCTTGGGTGGTCCGCATTCAATCAGACTGTACCGGGCGGCTGACCAACAAACGAACATGTCGCATCAACAACCCAGATGATGTTCGGGGAGGGGTCCACCAACTCGCCCACGTCACCGTAGGGCTCCGACACGGGGTCCGAGGAGATAGGATCGGAGAGTCGCGCCGTTTCCCCACCGCATCGCCGATGCATCGGCGATACATCAACGACGAATCGGAGACGTCGGCGTGGAGAAAATCTGGCTCCACGTGGAGTCGCGTCGCCGATGCATCGGCGACGTCGGCGCGATCTTCGGACCCCGTCCGCTCAGACCGCGGCCTGGAGCCACCCACTCGTGCGGCACTCGGGGCCCAAATCTGGGCTTCGGACTGCCCGGCTGTCACCAACGCACATGCCCTCGAGCGCCAGGTCCATGCCGTCGAGGATCTGGCCCGCCCTTCTGGCAACTTCAAGATCCGGTACCCAGGAGGGATCCAGGCCCAGAGGGGGATCCCCCTGTCAACACTTCTGCGAGGCCGGACTTCCTACGACATCCACCGCCGGAACGCCGATGTCTCAGGCCCCCAGGGGGCAGCGGATGCGGATATCGTTGGGCCCACACGGGCCCGAAAACGTTCACACCCACTGCCTCCTGGGACCCTGGGCCGTCTGTTCCCCACGCGTGGCCAATCTCTCTGGGAGAAACGAGTTCGAGACTGCCCCCAACCGTGGCCCTCGGAGGTTCCAGAATGCCCCATACGTGTGTGTGTATATATATATATATATATGTATAGACATCTCGCCCAAAGAGGTTCCAAGATGGCTCCAGTAAGACACAAGGTGGTCGAAAGAGCCTCAAGCAGTGGAAGTAAGTTTCAATTTCATCCTTCGGCTACAGGCAAGAGAAAGATCCTGGGCAACAGTGACCTCCGCTGACCGGCTTCTTCAGGAAACCGCCTGAGGGGGGGGGGGGGGGGGGGGGGGGGGGGGGGGGGGGAAATCCAAGCGCGGTCGAACCATTGCTTGGGGGACCCTCGTGGGCCCGCACCAAAAGGTCACTCCATCGAAGGATCATTCTCACGCGCAGGCTTCGGTGGTAACTCATGAAAGCCTCCCCATACCATCGCTCGGACGTCCCTTCCCCGTGCATTGCTCGAGTTCGTGCGCGCATTTGATTCGCAGGGTGCTCCAAGACGCTCCTCGATGGCTCTCGCCGAGAGGCGACATGCACACGTCCGAGCGATGCCAAGAACCTGGCCTGGGTCATGGCGGCCTGCCTGCGGGGGAGCTATCCGCGCGGCCCCCGAAGGCCCGTGAACAATTTCCGTCTGGACGGTCCACGGCACACACACACACACACCCCGACCGACCCACGACCTCCAGCGGCGAGGATGATGGGCCGATTTTCCACCACCACTACCATATGTAGGAGACGGAGGGGGAGGAGGATGAGGAGGGGGAGGAAGAGGGAGAGGAGGAGCAGGAGGAGGAGGAGGAGGAGGAGGAGGAGGAGGAGGAGGAGGACCTCCGCCGTCCTACCTATGGTAGTGGTGGTGGAGAGTTGGCCCGTCAGCAGACGAAAGGGAGGGGGCAGGCGCCACGAGCGGCGACCATGTCCGCAGCCGCGCCCTCGCGGTCCAGACTCTGGGGCGCGAGCCCGTGGAGACGCGGCCGCAAGGCTGCGCTCCTCGCGGGGCTTCCGCGAAGAAGGCGCGCCGCATTATCCATGAGGTGGCGGCCCTTTGGCCCGGCCCGCGAGGCGCTGGACGCAGATATTCTTCCGCCGAAGAAGGAGGAGGAGGAGTAGGAGGAGGAGGGGGAGGAGTAGGAGTAGGAGTAGTAGTCAAGCTAGCCAGCTCGAGCGAGTCAAGCATGGCATGCCCAGTCCCACCCGCCCTCCCACAACATAAGAAGCAAAGCTGGCACAACTGGGGGCCGAAGTCACACCGGCCAGCCGGTTTGGTACAGCTGATGCGGCCGCGATGGCGGTTACCGACGGGAACTGGCGAGCGCGTGTTGAATGCCGCGCACGCATTGCCAGACGAGTCGAGAATGGCCCGGTACACCGCAGGAAGCCAGAGGTGGCCGGAGGAAGCCCGACGGTCTGACAGGACACCCCAAAGCATTTTTGTGAAAAAGCATTGGGTTTTTGATGTTTTTATGTTGAAATGCTTGCAAAAACACGGTGTTCGGTAGGATTCTGACATGAACGCGCGAGTGTGCTCTTTGTGGTATTTTTTGCACAGGATTCGCGGCCTGGGTGCATGACAGAGCATCGCGAGTGCACCGCGCGATGACGTGAAATCGCTGGATTTGACCGAATTCTTAAGATTCCTATGGTTTTCCTATGATTTCAGCAAGAGAGCCCGGGCGGGAAATTTGTACATTTTTTTTGAAAAAAACATTGGGTTTTTGATGTTTTTATGTTGAAATGCTTGCAAACACACGGTGTTCGGTAGGATTATGACATGAACGCGCGCGTGTGCACTTTGTGGTATTTTTTGCAATGGATTATCGCCGTGGACGACAGGACGTCCATGTCGTGGTGTTGCCGAAGATCGTCCGCCGACCGCCCCTTGTCCGGCGGCTCTGCTGGGCCTGGTGCCGACAGCTCTGGCGGGGGCGTGCCGGCAGAACGAGGCCGCAGCGGACCTCTGCACGGCCGCCATGCTGGCGGGTGCCCCTCCACGCGGGGCGCTCCGCAGGCGGCCTCGCCTTCGGGAGCCGCGGTGCTGACTGTTTTGCCCCCGGCGGCAGCGTGCGGAGGGCCCGCGAAGGCCGGCGGAGGCAGAGCGAGGTCGGCTCCTCCAACGGAGGCAGGCGCGAGCTCGGCGGAGCACCTGGGGAAGAGCTTCGAGCTCGGCGTTACCCCAGCATACTAATACTACGTATGCGTCGCCCCCCCAGGGGCGACGCGCGCACCGAGAACTCTGATACTATGTGCGTCGTGGCGGGCGCATTCTGGCCACACCGCTCAGGAAACGGTCTACTACAAGATGGGTATACCATGTGTTCGGGTCGCACGTGCGCCTCCAATGAGGACATACAGTACTAGTATGTTTCTGCGCGTCCCATGAGAGTTTGAGCGCGCCAGAAGAAGTCGATGCTGCGGCCCGCAGCTATTTTGTTGGCTAGAGCAGTTTTTGGTCTCTCTTGGTTCCGACCTGCCAGCTTTTCTCACCCGCTCCGAAAGGCAGGTGCAGGCGGTCTCACGATCATGTCGAGCAAGGCCGTGGCCACCCTGGCGCTGGCAGCGGGCGCATTCGTGGGCGTTGGGGCGGCCACCCTGTCCCTGGACGAGCGCGTGGCGGCTGGAGAGTGTGCGGGCACCGCAGTGGAGAGGGAGTCCTTCTTCGACAGCGCGATTCAGCTGACCGACCTGCCCTCCAGCTCCGTGGCGCAGGCGGAGGATCTCTCGGATCTCAACTCGCTCGGATACACCCGATCCGCGGTGGAGCTCCTGATCGATTACGGTGCGAACTTCAAGGTGCTCACCGACGAGATCTCCAAGGAGCAGTACATCCTCACGCAGTGCGGCACCGATGCGCCGAGCGACGACGAGGTCGATGCGGTCAAGGCACGCCCGGACAGCAGCTACTCGAGGAAGAGTTTCACTATCCCTGTGCAAAGCGTGGTTGCCACTGGCACCACTCAGTTGGCGTTCATCCAGGCGTTGGGCTTGGAAGATCGCGTTCACAAGGTCACAGGCTACGCAGTGGGAGCGTGTTGGCAGAAGGGCGCGAACGAGTGCGAAGCTGAGCTGGAGGCTCCGGGTTCGTGGGGTGGCAACGCGACCCTCCGCGCCAACCAGCTGGACGCGGCGGAGCTCGTGCTCGCCGAATGCAGCAGTTACCAGCCCGTGGAGTGTTCCAGCGTGAACGCACTGAACAACGGGGTGCACTTTGCCTCCACCACGTCATCTGCGGGAAATCTACATGCGGCCGAGTACATCAAGTGGCTCGCGGCGTTCTTCAACAAGGAGGAGGAAGCCAAGTCCATGTTCAATGATGCCATGAGCCTTTACGTGGACGCCAAGAGTGCCAACGGCGCCGGCCAGAAAGTGGCGTGGGTCTCTTACGAGGCTGCAGGTTACTGGAATGCGGAGAGGTTCACGCTTTCCCTGGCCATCTACAAGCAGGAGCTCGTCACTGCTGCGGCTGGTGCCAACATTGATGGCGACGCAGTCCATGCTGAGGTCGGCGGGATCATGACCAAGTTCGTAGACGCGGCGGGAAATCCTAGCTTCCAGTTGGAGACCAGCCACTACAACGGCTCGAAGGCAGACACCGCCGCGGCCCTCCTCGAGGCTCTCAGCTCTCAGGGCGTGAATGTCCTGATCGACGAGACCTACCAGTCGGACACGGCCAGCTACACCATCGACACGTTTTTGTCCAACTTCGGCCTTGCTAGCACCAGCTTAAAGGTGCTCCGCATCGATGGCACCTTGAGCGCGTCTAACAACCTGGACTGGTACGAGTCGAGGGTGGCTCATCCGCACCGGGCTGTGCAGGGGCTGCAGCGGGTGATGCTGCCGGACAGCAGCCTGCCCAAGCACTTCTTCCGCGACATCAGCGCCGGCGAGGTGCCGGACGTCATTCTCGCCAGCGCCTGCACCACGCCGCTGCCCTTCTGCGATCCCACCGTGAGCCCGAGTTTCATCTCAGAGGAGAAAGAGAGGGCACCGCCACCGAGAACCCATCGGGGGGGGGGAATCCGCCCCTGGGCGGTTGCACATCCGGGCGTCGTCTGGTGCTCCTCCTCCTCCTTCTCCTCCTCCTGCTGCCCCTCCTGCTGCCCCCTCCCTCCCTCCTCCTCCTCCTTCTCCTCTTCCTCCTCCTGCTGCCCTCCTCCTCCTCCTCCTGCCTCCTCCTCCTCCTCCTCCTCCTCCTCCTCCTCCTCCTCCTCCTCCTCCTCCTCCTCCTCCTCCTCCTCCTCCCTCCTCCCAGGGGGTCCCCCCCCGCCTCCCGATGGGTTTGGCTGCGGTGGTCGGCGCGGGCGAGGCCCAGGATAGATCGCTCCAGAGCGCTCTGGACCGCCCGCTCCGGGAGCGTTCGGGCCACAGCCGCCTGGTATCCGAGATACCCGCCCCAGACCCCCTCGAGTAATGAAAACATCATGACGGGAGGTTTTTCTAGTTTTCGGCCTCTGGGGGCCCTCACCGGGCCTCGGAAGCGTCAAAAAACGACTCAGGATGCAAAGCCGGTCATGGGGAAAGGGTCGGGACCTCTGGGGGTCGACGTAGTGAAGAAATCATCATTACGTCGGGGGTCTGGGGATGTGCTCCAGTTCGAATTGGCCCAGTCCTGGCTGGTCAGGCCTCGGGTTGCGCAGAGATCGGGGGCGGCCAAGAGTGGGGTGATGACCAGGGGGGGGGGGGGGGGATGGATATCAGGGCGGGGGCCATGCTGCCTCCCCAGATTTCATAGCGCCTCTTCTTCTTTCGTTGCGTCCCCGGCCCCCCCCCTGTGCCGCGTACATGCCGCCGGCCATGCTTTGCGCTCCCCCCCCCTCTGGGGCGCCCCCCCTTGGCCGCCTCCCGAGGAGACAGCCCCCCGGGGCAGTCCCAGCTGGCACCAACCGCTCCCCCGAGCAACCCCGGGTGGCCTCGACCCCCCCCCGCGCAGTCTGGGTCGGCCTCGGCGCCCAGGGGCGCCGCCGCCGGTGGCGCCTCTGGGGCGGCTGGGGCGCTGGCGACCGCCCTGCGCTGCCCGGGGGGG